AGAGAGAGAGGAGGAGGAGGAGAAGAAGATTCAATTAGTTACTTCATATCCATGGTTTGCACCAGCTTGCAAATCAGTTTCCACTGCAATATGGCATCATAAAATATAGATCAATCTATTGACTAACAAAAAATAAAGATGTTGTCGAATGCGTACATTAATATTTAGTACTGTACAACGAGCATGCCTTATAGATACTCGGAGACTTACAATTTCCGGGATCAAGATATGCCAATGAGACCAAGAAACCCGGGCCAACATATGACAAAAAATTTCTCCATTCACGCTTCTGAATGCAAATACAAAAACGGTTAGAAAAAATATAAATTATGAAGCTGAAAATAAGAAAAGCAAAACATGAACCTGTTTCTCATGAATCTGATTGTATTGTCCGCCGGCTGGTGGTGTCTCTGGAATGGCTCCGATCCAATGGCTGTTATTTCCACCACTCAGTTGCTCTTGCTGTTTCTGTTGCTGCGAACTCCCCATATGTCTCTCTAAAGTGTGTGTTTCAATGAATTTGTATATGACTTATTCTCATCTGCATTATTTATTTATATAGAGCAAAATCTCGTAATGTGACCTGTCTGAATACGTCCTAGGTTCTTATTTTGTTTCTTTACTATTGTACAAAAACGTGGTATAAATAGATTTACCCTATTATTACATACTGTCAAGTTGTTTTTCAAGAGAGACAATTTTTCCTCTGAATTTAGACAGGATTATTGGATTTAGTGTAAAATAAGCAGTAAATTTAAATTATTGTTCAAAACTTTAGAATTACGGGTCATGGACCATGCCGTGAATTTGGACATGGTGGTCTTGACCAAAACTTATAAGAGATAAAATATAAGGTAAAAAAAGATACTATACTAAAGCTCGTTTTGGGAATTTGGACAGTAATTTGTTTTTTATGACATTATGATTTTGAAAAAAATGTAGTGATTTTTATCATGAAAATAAAATAGAGATAGTTAAAACTGTTTTTGGGAGATAAACGAATTTATTTTCTTATATTTATATTTGCAACATGCCTCTTGAGCATATTATTTTGGGAAAATTATATAGATCAGGTCTTTAAACTTTAAAGTGCAAAAATTAGGTGTGAAATTTTTTTAATCAAAATTCAGATAATTAAATATACCACCCGAACCCTCATTTCATTTCATCCTCCTCCCTTTTCCCTCCTTCCCCTCTCTCCCTCTTCTCTCTCTGCCTAGTGTGTGGTGGCTCCTCCCCATCCCATTCCCCTCTTAAAACTTCTTGAAAGTCATGTATAACTTGTCCGTGAGTGTTGCTCATAAGTTTCAAGTATTATGTGTTTTATTTATCTGCTCTGGCATCATCCCCTTGTGTTGTTTTTCTCCAATTACAATTTACACGCACGAAGGCTTAAGATAGTTTCATGTTTGCTTCCTAAGAGCGACATTGTCAATTTCTAATTTGAGAATTTATACCTTTCTTGAGGAG